ACAATCCTGTGCCAAAAGCCCAACCATACTTGCCTTTCTTCTCCACCTTACAAAAGCAGACATTTGCTCTTATACTGTGGGCCTGTACAAGGCCTATGCACCATTTGTGTTCCATGGAAAACTGTTTGGGGAGCTTGTGGTACACAGGCCTTGTGCTTGGTCTCTGCATGAGGATGAATTTTACCCCAAAAGAATAGCGACCGTGTGCTTATAAGAGGAAAATGGCCCTCTTGAAACTGTATCCCTAAAACACTCCAGACCTTAACATTGTCAGTGTCCTTTTGCAGGTTGCCATGTCAGTACTATTAAGCTTAATGAGACTTCCTTGAGAGGAAGTTCATACGTACATTTGCAGCAATATTGCTGGGATATGGGAAATATTACACTATATGATGGTCCCAAGTTTCCAGTAAATGCACAACTGGAAAAGTGAATCACAGCTTTCCCTCTGGACTCCTCCTGAATTAATCAAGCAAACAATATCTGCACAGAGCCCAGAAGGCAGGGAACTAGACTAACCAGAAGGAAGGAGAGGAAGGAGGAAGCCCCACAGCTGGATCCCCGCAGCTGGATCAGCTGCTCAGAACGTGCCGTGGAGGAGGAATATTGCAGCCCCAGTTCAGCAAAGTGCTTAAGCGGTGCTTAACTTGAAACGCCTGCCTGCATGCTGTTAATAAATGAGGCTGAGCTTAAGCACATGTTCAGCTTTGAGCATCTGCTTAAGCGCTTTGTTGAAGTGAAGCATTTAATTTAACCAATCCAATTTCTACTCATTAGGATTCATGGCGAATGTTCATTACACTGCCTCCTGTTTCCATTTGTTCCAGTTCCCCTCTGTGTCAGTCTGGCGGTGTGATGTTTTAACTCCGTTGCTGGATAAGTGCTAGTCTTCAACAGATTCCAAGAGGAAATTATCCCATGGAGTTATGAACACTACTTCATAGCCACCAGAGGTTTCAGCCTAGCTTCTAACAGGCTCTGTTTGTAGACTCATTACAAATACACAGTCTTGAATACTGAACTATTCTCTCATCTCCAGAGGTGATGGATCAGTCAGGGGTTAGCCATTAGCAAAGACATGGCCATGTTGGAAGTTTTAGCAGCTGCAGTCTCTATGGTCACACCTCTTGGGTTGCAAGATGGGACTGTGGTGTCCAAGGTTGTCAGTTATCCTTCCAAATGCTAAATTATAGTTGATAAGGGGGTGGCAGAATCAGAAACACAATATGATCCAGGAATTCCTGTGATTTATTTATTTATTTTTAGAGCAATTCTACGAATGGAGAGAACAAGACTTCCAGATTACTACCAGATGAAAAACTTTTCAGTCAAATATGCCTCCACATGCAAGCAATTTTTCTAAAATGACATTAAGAATTTCCTGGAAAAAAAGAACGTAAGGCAGGATACAAGGTGTCTGTGGTTTCTGTTAGCTTTTTAATTATGCCTCCATAATGGGTTGGTTCTCACAACCACTGGGTAAACAGATGGCAGTAAAGGACTGCTAGTTATTTTCTTAGTATTGTCACAGCAGACACAGAATTGCAGTGGAGCTTTGTTGATATAAGGTAATGATTTCCACATCACTGACTCTAATTCCTTACAACATAATACAACACATCTGAGAACACTTTGCTTGTCCTTGAGCCATAAATTTAACTACCTATTAGAAACAGTCAAGCACGAGGGCTCATCTGTCACCTACTACATGAGCAAGGTCTGATTTTCATTACATAGATTCCCAGAGCTCAATTGTGCCCTAGGGCACAGCCCTACTTTCAGGGTGGTGTGGAGCTGCACTGACCCAGCGCTTCCTCCCTGGGCGCTGCTCAGTGCAGCTCACTTCTTTCTGCTTTCCTGGTTTCACTTCGAGGACATCAATCTCCTCCCTCTGGGGTTCTCTGTAGGCACAGATGAAGCTGCTCTTGCACTATCTAGTCTTGTCCCATCCACAGATTGTGCAAATGGGAAGAAGGGTCCATTCACTATGCGCACAAAGGCCAGTAAGGCACAGTTCAGCTGCCAAGAAAAAACTAAATATCCTGGCATGGCACACTTCTGGGGGCGGTCCTGGGCAGGAAATCCCACTCTTCCAAATGAAAAACAAGGGAGAAACAATCCAGATCAATCTGCTCTGCTCTGCAATGCTTCCTTGCAGGCATCCTGAGGCTGAGCCCTGATTTCTGTCATGCTGGTGTCAGTGCAGAGCAGATCAACCAAAAACAGTGCATCTGAGAAGAGAACTTGTCTCTGTACGGACCCTTTTAGACAGTGCCTTGATGGCAATAGAAAAGCCCCTCAAGGGCCCAGTCCTGTTCCTACTTAAACCATTTTTTCTTGAGAGGCAGAAATGTGGAGAAGTTTTTGATTTTATTTTTTTTCCAAAAACCTCTCTCTCTGGGTCAGATTCCAAGTTGGAGCCCAGGGACTACATTCCAACCATATCTTTCAGGATGCATCTATGAAGACATATTGAATAGTTTTGGAAAGTTTAATCCCTGTGTTCCTGGTACAGGCAACTTGAGCTCTTTATGGAGACCTGAGTAATTGCACTCCAAAGTGTGGGCAAACAGCGACGGCTATATTCCTTAGGTAGTGTGAGGCAGACAGAATTTATTATTTTTATCACTTTATCTTTTGAAGCTGGAGCTCCTTTATGAATCCTTCCTCTTTTGTTGGCTGGCAAACAGGGAGTCTTTTAAATCTACATTTGGCATTCAGTCGTCAAAGCAGATCAGAACAAGAATGTCATAACTGTCTGATTCTCAGCTGCAGTGCGACATCAAACCAATTCAATGCAATGGAACTCCCCCCGCCAAAGCCATTAGAAGTTTTCATCATTCTGATGCCTCAAATTCCCTGAAATTTCATCAGAAATTCCCAAATATATAGCTGTCGATTTAAGCTTGAATCAGGCTTGGTGTGGTGAGAACGTTAGGACTCCTGGGAGATTCATTTTTCTGTGCAAAAAGAAACAAGCAATAAAATATTTCTGGGCATGTGGGATCTCCTTCCCAGAATGGAGTTGTCATGAGAGTTAATCAGAATAAAATATTAATCTGTAAAAATAACAAGCCTATCTCTTGTTGCAAATTCATAAGCTTATCATAAACAGCAGAAGTGATATGGAAAAATGAAAGCATCAAGATTGTTAGCCTTGATTCTAATCCTGTTAAAAGTCAGTAGAATTATTTCATTGATCATTGATTTTTAACAGGCTTTGGGTCAGGCAGATGATTTCTAAGTGGACTGTCAGGAGAAATAGAGAATGTAGGTAAAACATTTGAGCCAGAGATTTCTGGGTTAAAACTGCATTTCTTGTTTTCCAAACTCAGGTGCTGCAGATAATTAAACCAAATTCAGCTGTGGTATGTGGCAAATCAAGGCCAGAGTCCAGCAAAGGGATTCTTGGCTGCAACAAATAAGCTACACCTATTTGGAATAAGGAAACTTCTCATATTTTCCAAAAAATGATGTGCACATGGCTTTTGAGGTTAAACAGAAAGTTCTGTGTTATGTGCATACAGTTTTTGGTTCTTTCTTTTCCATGATGAAGATGAGGGAGACGGTGGAGGTTCCCTCCAGTTTAAAAATGACTGGGACTTACCATCCTCTCCTGAGTTCACTTGTTCAGCAAATTTCGCAGGCCAAGTACATTGCCCCCATTCCAACTTTGAACTCTGGTGACACCCCCACCCCCCAAGTGGGGAAGGGCTGCAGTTACTAGAGCAGCTCCAAGTTTGCTTTCATTTATGCCAGGGTCTAAACCAGAGTATGATGACCTCAGGATTAGGGCTGTACAAAGCTCTGACTAACTAGCCATGTGGCTTTCAAGGGTCCCAGTTTGTTCTGGGTTTTTAGCATACTATTATACTCTTGGAGGGTAGGTGCCACTTGAATACAAAGGATGCCATTTCATATAAGTATTTACTTTCCATTTTAAAAGTGGCATGCAGATAAGGATGTATTTTTAAATGCTTTGTCTACGTGTTTACAAAAGCTGAAGTGATCTGGCCCTGTTCTAATGTTAAATGTTCCTATAACTAATGCCCTAAACTGCCCTGAACTACGTTAGAAGCATCTACTATAGGCTTCTGGGACATTACAGGGATGGGGATCATGTAGACTCAAATCCTGTTTTTAATCATGCGATAAAATGCAAAATAATAGTGTTCGTGTCTTTCAGCAATTCAGTTGTCATGAGATGACCAGGGGCTAGATGTTTAAAAACAACTTTGGCTCCTCAGTTAAGTCGAGGTAACATGCCTAGCTTGCCTTAAGCCACCCAAGGGTATCGTATGACTAGTATCGTGCCTCAACTTTGACTCCCTACCCAAAATGAATTGGTGGTCTTTGGTGCTACCCAGAGCAAGGCCTAAACTCTCCACTCTAGAGCCATATGGCGGATACCTTAACTGCTGTGCCTCTGCACTTCTGAACTGGTTGTTTTTGAAAACTGTACCCCAGACATGACAGTGCTTCCACTCCAGAAGGAAGTCAGAAATGTTGTCAGAAATGCCTGTGAGCACACGTACTAGACCTGGTGAATGCCCCTTCCGTCCTGCATTTTAGAGTGAAAACCAGGGGGTTTGTTAATATATGGAACTAACTGGAAAGCAGGTCCTACGTGCCCAGTACACTGAGCTGAACAGAAATGTGTCAGTGATCTAATCCCATCTGTACATTGGGACACCTCCATGGAAAAAGCATCCAGGCCCATGGAAAAAATCTTGGAGCAGTGGTATTAGCCTGCTCCAGTATTCTTGCCTGGCAGGACTAAAGATAGCATGATGCAGTTTCTATGCACAAATGCTATCATCTTCTAATAGGCACAAACAGTGTTTAAAGGACCACGACTTTAGTTCAGACAATGGCTCAAGGTGCTTTGCTGAATGTTGCTCACAAACGCTGCTGTGCTTCCAAACCGCATTCGCTTACCTCCAGAGATGCCCACTCTTCATGGACCCTCCGTTCTGATTTTCTTTAATTCTCTGTTGCAGAGCTGAAGCCAAGGCCTGGTCCCCCACCGTTCCAGAAGATGGAAAAGCACAAGCTTACAGGGTCAACGTAGAGGCTGAACCACAGGTATGGGAACGATGACACTTTGCAGACACTTCCTCTTGGCTAATTCATCGAAAAAGGAAGAAGCCACCTAGCCACAAGATGCAGGGAAAACACTCGTGCCTGCAGAGATCTTCTCTTGATTTAAATGGGTTAAATGGTTGTGTGTTGTATTTAACAGGAACATTGTCAGTCAGCTTTTTCTTTGTGCATTTCTGAAAAGGAGATTTCCTTACTACATCTCTCCAGCTCTTTGCAAATCTTTTTTTCTGGGGTTCACTTCACATGGTTCTCTCTTCACTCCCATCACAGATCACAGCGGCAGCATCTTTTTTTCCCTCTTTTCCTTTCTTTTCCTTTCATTTTGCCTGCCTTTTCCTTCACTTCTCCAGAATCTGTCCCTAGCAGCAGGTGTTGTATTTAATCTGACTTACCTCACCAGTATTTCCTTCTACCCCCTTGCCTACCCATGTGTCCAGTCACCCACAGCCCCTCAGACTGTGATGCTTAATAGCTGAAGAACCGTTACAAAAGGCCTGTTTTCTCCAGGCAGTGTCCTTCAGGGAAATGAATGGGACCCTAGCATCAGTGCTGTTCTTTGAAACTGTATGATCTCCATCTTTTAGCTCAGTATCAGACTTAGAGGTTTCCTAATTAGTTTGAAGGACCTCTGGTTTCCTCCAGGCAGCTAGGAAACAGAGGAGGAACAGAGACCTGTGACCTTGACTCCTTCTGGCTGCCACTGCAAAAGTGGGCAACAGTTTTCTCCTTGTCTGCTTTCTGTTGCCACTTGTACACACCACAAAACTGGCCTTTATAGCAGCTTAATGTCCCCTTTTTGCACCGCTTTACTGGTGCAGCTGTTTGCACATGTTGACAGCATAATACACTTTAATGGCACTGCCGTTTGCACGTGTTGGCGGCATAATGCATGTTAAATGACTTTGGGGCATGTTAAATGACTTTGGGAAGCAGTGAAATAAAACATCTCCAAGGTGGTTTAGTTTGCCATGGAGGGAAGCACCAGGTCCCATGCAGCTCAGGGGCCCAGCTGAGCCCAGTGGCAGCCTATGCAGGCAAGCTCCACTGAAGGGGAAAAATAAAAGTGTTGAGCCCAATCGTTTTGCTTTTTTTTTCTCCCTGGAGCCTGCCTGCCTGAGCTGCACGGGGGCCCGGTGCTTCCCTCCACAGCTGTGGTGCCCCCCGGGACTGCTCAGGCCGGGTGCTTGTGGGCAGGTGCCACCTGAGGGGCACCGCCACGGAGGGAAGCACCAGCCCCCCCGTAGCTCAGGGACCACTCGGCACGCCGGCAGCTCACCCTCCCCTCCTAGTCACCTGAGAGCGGAGTAAAGATCGGGCCTGACCCTTGTGTACACACCATGGGGGTTTACTTCGCCCTAAATTGAAGTGTTGCTTTTAAAGACCCACTGCTTCAATTTAGGGAGAATTAAACTGAAGTAAGCCGCTGTGGCATGTACAACCACCCTGTGTTGGCTGGGATTGGAGGTGGGCTGCTGGTCCACTGGTCAGATCTTTCTCATAGCACGAGAGAAGCAACATGATTGCTGCCAGCTTTCACAGGGGCCTGCAAGGTGATGAATAGCAGCAGTGAAAGCTGACAAGGTGTTGGCCAGTTCTCACCCTGCTGCAGCTTGGCGAAGTCCTGAGCAACAGTCATGGAGACACACTGCCTGCAACCTTAGGAAGACAAAAGTATGTCAGTTTATATTACATTCCTGCTTGAACGTTTATCCGTGTTACAAGTCAGACTGGTACCTTCTGCAGAAGCATTTAGCATATTAACCCAAGAATATTTTGGCTGGCTGTGCTGACACTGAGTTTCTAGATTTGCTTGGGCTATTTCTTTCTTCGTTAAGGATTACTGCTTCATTTTCCCTGTGGAATTTTCATGAGATCTTTTGCTTTTCTCCCGTGTTAATAAAGTACCTAGTGACCAGGGCTTTCCCTTAACGGCGCCTGGCCCCATAGCCTAGGGCTAAATAAAAGTAAATACAAGATGTGGAGCAGTCGTGATAACAACTGAAATTGCAGACTTTTCAGTAATGGAGAATGGGAAAATATCATTACGATTGACAGCAGAAAGGTTCAAAAGTTGTACATACAGCCTATGGGAGAACTCAAGTGGGGCTGTAAGAAAACATTTGTTAGCTGTAGAGAGAAATAATGTCTAGGTTCATACCCTGGACACTGTCACACTGATATTTTTTAGGCTGTTGCAGACACAAGGCGATCTGTGCACCATGGCTTTGTATTCTGGTGATGTTTGATTAATTAAAGCAGTTTATTCTGACAAATTTTTGATAGACTTTGAAGTGTCCAAAACTGTGTATATATGTTAAATTAGGAACAAATGTTCTGCAGTTCGACTGCCAGATACAACAAATCTGTGGTTTAATGTACGTTGGATTTGAATCTTCCTATTAATACATGTTACATATGGTCTCTTTAAAAAACGGGACACAGTTACATGAAGCAGAATCAGGTGGACTTGGAATCTGTTATAGATTTGTGTTTTTCTGAAACAAAGCATACCTCAAATGTGTCTAAACCAGCAACCTGTAAAGTAAACTAAAAGTATAGGAACAATTTTTGGCAGCAAATTGTAATGAGTGTGTACAAAAGAAAAAATATCTAATGAGGTCATATACCATTTCACTCCCACCATCTCATCTTAGCATGTCTTTGGACTAAATTCTCTCTCTTGAAAAGCAGTAGGTGATTGCTGTGAGATTTCCCCTGATTCAGACCTTACTGAGTCCACAAAATTAGTGAGCATCTTTGTCATCAAAGCCTCTGCCCACAGCTAGGACCACTGAGAGGTTCTCATTAGTGCCAGGGTGTCACTGTGGAGGGTGCCGTGGGGACGTGTGGGTTGACAATGTCCTTCCCCGAGGAGCCTGCAGTCTAGGAATTGGTCTCATTTTTATTGTTTGGCTCCTTCCATTCATATGTTCCTACAAATACACAGAATTGAGCCCTGTGAATATGCCAGCCATTGTCTTAATCTTTGAACTTTCTATAATGTACAGTTTCATGGCTGGGCTGTCAGGACTGGTCACTGGAAGACGGATACTGTCACTACAAGACTCCCCCCTCCCT